AGGAAGGGAGGAAGGAAGGAAGGAAGGAAGGAAGGAAGGAAGGAAGGAAGGAAGGAAGGAAGGAAGGAAGGAAGGAAGGAAGGAAGACACACCCCAGGGGAACTGGGGTTGGAGGGATCCTAAGCACAGCTGACTCTCCCTCTCTGCCTGGCCTCAGCACCCCAAGGGCTGCTACACGAAGTTCCTCCTCCAGGTGGCGCATGGGGGCCGTGGACCAGGAGGGACATCCCGTCCACTCAGGACTGTGCCAGCCCCGGTCGCAGAGTCCAGCCCGCGTCGGGCAGGTGGACAGTCAACAAGGGAGGAAGAGTCCCTGCCTTTGCTTTCTTACCCCGCCCGTACGCCCCCTCCTCTTCCCACCAATCCCCCAAGGAAGAACAATGTGAGGCGTTTTTGTTAAATTTCCCTAAACTGTATCTATCCTTCTTTCCACTGCAGCCCCGCTGCCTGGACTTACTGGACTTCCTCCTGCCGGGGAAGACACAGGGATCCAGTCAGCCTTCCTGTGATCTGCAAGGTAGAAAGGTCACAAATTTTCTCTCTACCAAGACCAGGCTCTCCCCTTTTGCTAAGGAGTCCATTTACCCGTAACTGTCCACCTTGGTGTCAAAATCAAACAAACAAGATTGGGCAGAAAAAATACACTGAGATTTTAATTGAAAAACAACCAAAGAGACAGATGCAGAGAGACAGAACGTGCCCTCAGTGAAAAACAGAAATTCAGTCTTGATGTAACGGAAGAAGGCAAAAGTAGAGAGTATGTGGTTAGGAAGCAGATCCCTGGGGGAAATGAAACTCAGGTGCAAACACAAAGTTTAACTTAGCTGGACTGAGCACCCTCCCTGTCTGAGCTGACACGTCCCAGCACAGCAAGCTCGACCTTCCAGGGACAGAACGTGCTCCCACCCCAGGTCTGGCCCACCTGGGACGAGCTACTTCACGTCGTCTCAGTCCCTTATTCCTACAGGTAAGATGATGGGAAAGAATAAGACATACTGTAGAGGGTTCCTCCGAGAACGGCTGTGTTCATGTTTGAAGAGAATGAAGTAGAAAAATACTGCCCCATAGTAAAGAACTGGCCCAGCTTCTGTTGAATGTTCTTTAAATATTTGTTTATATAGTATAATAAATAAAATATTTGTTTAAAAAATGCATGCCTTGGCTCGGCGCCTATAGCTCGACCGGCTAAGGCGCCAGCCACGTACACCGAAGG